CGTAGCGGTGGAACTGTTCGAACAGAAACTTCGGCACAAATGTCGCCAAATTATACTTCGCTGTCGTAATGCTATTGTCGCACATCTTGTGCCGACCCGTGATGTAGACCAACCTCTTCGGCCGATTCGCGCCGACGGCCGCAGCCGTACTACTCGTGTCGTCTCCCAAACGCTCCATCACTAAAGCGTCGCTCATTTGATCCACGGATTCGCCATTGAATTCGCCATCACTTCCTCTTATTGTCTCACTTATGGACCAATCCTTTCAATACTAATCACAACTATTATAGCAATCAAACAATCAATCACTCAATCAAAACAAATACAACAAAACTCTGGTTTCAACACAACTTGCAATCTATACAACACTACACTGTGCTGTCAATGAGTACTGCAATCACAGCTCTACTGTAGTCCATGTGATGTATACCCAGTGTTCAACAGTACAGTGCGTCGGCGAATGTCCGCATTTCCTATGCATTGACTGCAATGCAATTGTATATCACGTGATGTGTTGTATTTGACAGTAAAGACAATACAACACACATTGCGTGCAGTAAATGAATGTTTGATGTGTTTGTATGAAACTATCGCTACATTTAATGTACTTTTGATGGTCTCTGCAATTGTCCGCAACTATCATGTAATCCATGCATACCTTAATAGACAGCCTTTATGTCATAATTATATTCAAATATCGATTACATAAGTAAAGGGAGGCGTGGATGGGAAGGGGAGGGTTCGCATAGTTAGTGTATATCGTGTACTAACAAGTGTACAGAATATACAGAATCTACAGAATCTACAGAATCTACACAATAATGCATATTAGATGTTATGATAACATAATAATTGAGTTTATCGTTAGCCCAGAATTAATGTCTTATGAAAAGAGTTGAGCTTTTGCTGAGCTTTCAATACAATATCGCTTTAATAACTAAATAAATATGTTATGACATCTAATTTTGTAGTAATTTATGTGATATTGTTTTGCAAACTAATTAGTTATGTCATGAAATATTTATGTAATTTATTATGAATTCTGTAATAAAGACATAAATAAATTAATCGTGAATTAATTTACATGAAATATTGTATACATTTATTCACGTATTCTTATATTCTTTAGAATTATTGTTTAAAAGTATTTTCATTTTTTTCACAATAATTTTGATTCCTCTACTAATTATTGATTATTTCTAGGTTTTAATTGTGTTAAGAGACATTGTTATTAGAAAATATCTAGTTTATTTAATCCAAAATATATACTGTTAATAATATTAATAGATGTTATTTATTTAAATTAAACACTTTTGCAATTTATTTAATTAATTGTAAATTATTGACAAAAATAATGTGTTTTGTTGTGTTTAAGTTTTTAGTGGCTATAACTATAAGTGCTTATTAATAATCTTCTTATTAACAGACAGTTTATACAAGTTTTTCGTTTATTTGAATATAATTTCGAAGAAAATAATTCAAATAATCAATTCATTCATGCATTTTATATAACATGAGAAAACATGACTCCAAAACTCCGATACGAAAAAATTTCACTTTATTTTATTCATTTAGACATCGATTATATAGAAAATGCATTCAAAGTAAATAAAAGTAAACTGTTTTTAAACTATAAATTATGATAAGATATTGACATTAAATGACTCCAAAAAACGCATGAAAATATTCTCGGCGTCAGAAAGTTATTGATGATTACTATTGATGTCTTTTCTTCAAACAAATCATGAGTTACTTTCTATATTATGTTTGTTATTAATAACTTATTATTATAGACTGCAAAATAATGCGTTTTTGATGCGTTCGTCACTGAAAAACTTAACTTTATATACAAGTAATGTTTGATTCATTGCTTTGAACACACCTTTAATATTTGTAATAATAGATTATAAATAATTTTTTTCTGTGCAAAAGCATTAAAAACGCATTTTTTTGCAGTCTATACTTATTATACAGTATTGATCACTAATTTATTCACTAAATTGTCAATAATTATAAAAGTTTCTATTTTAATATGCAACATTAAAATATACAGTATTTATCAATATATTTTTATCCACAATTTAGATGAAAGTTGTGGTTTATAGGATTTGAGCATGCCCACAATTGTAATTAATTAATTAGTATTAATACCGTAGTTTTACTTACAATCTTTGTGTATCTATTCTTAATTAATTAAAAACAATTCATATATATTATAAGGACTTTTTGAAGGATATAATTGAGTCCAAAATTCAAGAGAATTTCGTATAATTTTTATGATATAAAAAGTATTTGTAATATTAATGTCTAATTGCAAACATTTATTTGTTAATATTTATATTATTAGAAGGTTTTTCTAGTAATTACTAAAACTATTGCAAAAACAATTACAAAATATAGTAAATATTATTATTAACCCTTTAATTATTATATAAATGCAATGCATTGATATGGGAATCAATTAATTGTGGATTTATAACTACAGTATAACACAAATCTCTTTTGTGAAAAAGATAACAATTTAGATAAATGTTTTGACAACAAATGTGCTAATAATAAACAAAGTGATAGAGTNGAGGGAGGGGTTGTTTATTTAATCCTTACAATTAGACATTTAGGCAAAATACATAAGTGTTATTTAGAAAGGTGTCTGAGAAAGGTTCAGAATGTATAGTCTTTACTGTCAAATACAACACATCACGTGATATACAATGCATAGGAAATGCGGACATTCGCCGACGCACTGTACTGTTGAGCACTGGGTATACATCACATGGACTACAGTAGAGCTATGATTGCAGTACTCATTGACACCACTGTGTAGTGTTGTATAGATTGCAAGTTGTGTTGAAACCAGAGTTTTGTTGTATTTGTTTTGATTGAGTGATTGATTGTTTGATTGCTATAATAGTTGTGATTAGTGTTGAAAGGATTGGTCCATAAGTGAGACAATAAGAGGAAGTGATGGCGAATCCGTGGATCAAATGAGCGACGCTTTAGTGATGGAGCGTTTGGGAGACGACACGAGTAGTACGGCTGCGGCCGTCGGCGCCAATCGGCCGAAGAGGTTGGTCTACATCACGGGTCGGCACAAGATGTGCGACAATAGCATTACGACAGCGAAGTATAATTTGGCGACATTTGTGCCGAAGTTTCTGTTCGAACAGTTCCACCGCTACGCCAACATATTCTTCCTGTTCATTGCACTCATGCAACAGATCCCAAACGTGTCGCCCACCGGCCGATACACCACCGCTTTGCCACTCATTTTCATACTTCTGGTCTCTGCCGTCAAAGAGATCTTTGAGGACATTAAGAGACATCGAGCCGATAGGGGCGTCAACACCACTCTTGTGCTCGTACTCAACAAATTCAGCTCTCAGTGGGAGTGGAGGTATTGGCAACAGATCCAAGTCGGCGACATCGTTAAGATCACAAACGACCAGTTCTTTCCCAGCGATCTCTTTCTCTTGGCTTCTTCTGAACCAAACGGTTTGTGTCAAACAAACTCATCATTACTTGCATTGCATTCACGCTTGATTTTTGTCACTCTTAAGGCATGTGTTATATCGAGACCGCAAATCTTGACGGAGAGACCAATTTAAAGATTAGGCATTCCCTCAAAGAGACCACTCATTGTCTGAGTAGCGAACAATTGGTGTCTGAGCTGTCGCTGGCGTCCATCCAATGCGATCAACCGAACCGTCATTTGTATGAATTTCAGGGAAACCTAAAGCTGTCGGAAACGGTTCACCCGATTGGACCCGAAAACATAGTCCTCAGAGGAGCCAAACTGCGGAACACAAACTGGATATTTGGTTGCGTTATCTATACGGGACATGAAAGCAAACTTATGATGAACTCTTCAGTTCAGGCGCCCATCAAGCGATCAAATGTGGAGAAGATTACAAACAAGCAAACGATTCTGTTGTTCGCTATACTATTAGTAATTTGCGTCATATCTGCCACCGCTTCCTATATATGGAAGAAGCAAAACAAAGATCACTGGTATTTGGACGGACTCGAAGACGCCCTGTCGTCCAATTACTTCTTCGTTTTGTTGACATTCATTATATTATACAACAATTTGATCCCTATATCACTTCAAGTGACCCTTGAAATGGTTCGCTTCATTCAGGCCTCGTTTATCAACGCAGACATCGAGATGTACTGCCCGGAGAAGGACACACCCGCTATGGCCCGCACCTCCAACTTGAATGAAGAATTGGGACAAGTATTGACAGTTTTGTTGACTATTTATAATGTTTTAATGATATAGTTTGCAATTTCAGGTTAAGTACATACTATCGGACAAAACGGGAACTCTTACTTGTAATGTAATGGAGTTTAAGAAGTGTTCGGTCGCTGGCATTGTGTTCACTGAACATGATTTTCCTGATCTGATCCAAAGATTGAATTCAAATGAATCGGAATCTTATTATATAAGAGAATTCTTGACACTATTATCGGTTTGCCAGACAGTTGTGCCCGAATTGTCGGACACTGAACTGACTCCGGATGGAAAGCAAATGATCCGATATCAAGGCGCCAGTCCTGATGAGGCGGCTCTGGTTAAAGGCGCACAACTAATTGGGTTTGAATTCACGGCCAGAACTCCTCAATGCGTATTCATTAATGCTTTGGGAACTGAAGAAAAGTATGAGATTCTCAATGTTTTGGACTTTACTTCTGATCGCAAAAGAATGTCAACAATAGTGCGAACACCTGAAGGAAAGATCAAACTATACATAAAAGGCGCAGATTCTGTAATTTACGACCGATTGTCGAAATCATCGGAATTTGGAGACACGACTGAAACAAATTTAACCGCATTCGCCAACGAAGGCCTCCGAACCCTGTGTTGTGCTGTTGTGGACATCGAGGAGAAGGTGTATCAGGACTGGAATAAGAAGTATTGAAAATTTGTGTAATTATGCCAAATGTGCTATTAATTAGTTTGTCTGCAGATATATTGAGGCACAGACTCTGGAGTCGGGACCGAATGGTATGAGTCGTGAAGACTATATCAATGACATGATGTCCAAAGTGGAGGCTAACCTCAAACTGATCGGCGCGACAGCTATTGAGGATAAACTTCAAGATGAAGTGCCCGACACTATCGATACGTTACTTAAAGCGGGAATACATATATGGGTTCTGACGGGTGATAAAAAGGAGACGGCTATTAATATCGGCCACAGCTGTAAACTAATACAGCCGGGTGTGCGGCATCATGTGATTGATGACGACTCACTCGACAACACACGGGATTCTCTAATTGAAGCCCAGAGTCTGTTTAACGGCAATCAGCCAGAAGTGGCTCTCATTGTTGACGGTAGAGATTGTTGTCATAATTCTCAATCCATTGGTTTATTCATTTCATGTCATTTTATAACAGGAAAGACATTGAATTTCGCCATGACTTCGGAATTAAGTCAAATGTTTATGGAAATTGCATTGAAGTGCAAAGCAGTCATCTGTTGTCGCGTATCGCCGGCACAGAAGGCAGAGATCGTTGAAGCCGTCAAAAAGACAACCAATTCTATAACACTAGCCATCGGCGACGGAGCCAATGATGTGGCGATGATTAGAGCGGCTAATGTTGGGGTCGGCATATCAGGACTCGAAGGTCTGCTCACGCGTTGATTTAGAAAATGAATGAATGACTTATATACCAATAATTTGGTTTAGGTTTACAAGCGGTACATTCGTCGGACTACGCGATCGCACAGTTTAAATTCCTGTCCCGTTTACTACTAGTGCACGGCTCGTGGTCTTTATCCCGGTTATGCAAATTAATTCTCTATTCGTTCTACAAAAACATTGCACTCTATATATTAGAGCTATGGTTTGCATCGGTGTCCGCGTGGTCAGGACAGGCGGCCTTTGAGCGCTGGTCTCTTAGTCTATATAACGTTATATTCACAGCCGCGCCGCCGATGGTTATCGGCCTCTTTGACAGACAGTGTTCGGCCGAAACGATGATGAAATATCCGGCTCTATATAAAACACATGCAGATATGTTTAACGTAAAGCTGTTCTGGACATGGATTTTATCGGGCGTTTGGCACTCGTTGTTACTCTTTTGGTTGACATACTTCTCGGTTAGTAATGACACCCTTTGGCAACACGGGAGGGCTGACGGCGGATATTTGGTGTTTGGTAAGATATTTGCCCACAAATGTTTCCCTGTTTGTAACAATTATACCATTTTAGGTAATATGCTATTCACTTATACTGTGATAACGGTGTGTTTGAAAGCTGGTCTTGAGATCAATGCGTGGACTTGGGTGACACACGCGGCCATTTGGGGGTCGATTGCGATGTGGTTTATATATCTGATGATATATTCGCGATTCTGGGGTCTGTTTGAGTTGGTTGGGGCCGATATGGCCGGAATCGATCAAATGATCTTCTCGTCCGGTGTGTTCTGGTTTGGGATCGGAATCATTCCATTGAGTGCTTTACTCGTCGACATATCATATAAACTGATTTCGCGGACGTGTTTCAAGACATTGACGGATCAGATAACGGAAATGGAATTAGCGAACAGTCCATCGCAACAGTCGATGCTCTTAGAGACGGCCCGACTCTTCAAAAACGTGTTTCACGTAAAACGAGACAAATCTAAAGACGGGCGGAGACGACACCGACAGGAAGTAGAGCTCGACCTCCAACACGGGTACGCCTTCTCACAGGAAGAACACGGAGCCATCTCTCAGTCAAACGTAATCAGATCCTACGACACCACACGATCCAAACCTTCGGGCATTTAAGTGCAAATAACCACTCTTTTAGTCATAACAGAGACTATATTTAACTATATATTTAAGACTATATATCTCTTAGATTGTGATTCTCTTAGTTTTTCCCCCTGTTTTAAGTTTATTATATTTTGTATATATTTATGTTTTATATTTATTAATTCAATCATCAGAACAAACAAATCTATAAAAAGATAATACATTGAAATCAATTGAGTTTCAAATATATTGTTGAAAGTAATTAACAAAACCTTTTTCACGCAAACGCTTTCAAACGATATATTGTTTTTAAACCAAAGTTAATACCGTTTTCACACATATTAATACAATATACTAAATGGTTAACCATTTGACGAGTGGTTGCAATGAATTCTAACAAGTAATTAAATTTTATATTAAATATTAATCTAAAAAAGTACTTATTTTAAATTAAATATTTATATTTTTAACAAAGCCTAAACATTGAAAAGTCCATTCCTTATTATGTAGTCTTGTTATACGCTATGAAACAAAAGCAAAATAAAACTAATGAAACGTATGTTAAAACAAATGATTGATTATAAATTATAATAATATTAAATATTTATTTGAATAGTTTTCACTATTGCTTTTTTCACTTTGTTTTTTTCATAAAACAGTCTTCACCCTAAGCTTGGGTGCGGGTGTAAGCACCTGGTCTTCCGAGTCACGTATACGATTACAACATATGAAGGGTATATCCCTTGAGTCTGGCGCCTTAGACCGCTCGGCCATCCTGACAGTCATACCCTATGCAGCCTTACCTCTCACTATCATAACCACCACTCCATCCATAGTATGACGTAATGCTGTATTGATTGCATGTTTTAGTCGTTCACTGCATTGACTGCAAAAGTGTTGCGATTGTTGCCAAACACTCGTCTCATCTGTGGTTTGCATAACACGTGTTAAGTGTTTGACATTCAAAAGAGTGATCTATTTTTGGACCAAATGTTGGACCGAATCCTACAGAAGCCGACGACCGGCTCGACGGACGACAAGGACTGCCTGTCGTGTCGACTGATAGGCGGCGGAGGAATGGCTTGTTTGGGATCGTATGTACTCTACAAGACATATACGGGAAGGCATTCAATGACCAAATGGTCACTCATTGGCAGCTCATGTCTGGCCACTGTATAGGAGAGTTAGCGAAGGGAGTCTGATAACTTGCAGGCCAACTTAGCCAAACTTCTGTTGGTGGCTTTGTTAGTGAGTTTAATTGGTGTTTAGGTAAGTTGCTCAATAGCGAAATATATTTGGTATACTCAAAACAATTTAATTATAGTTTTGTAAATGTATTGCCATTTAAATAGAGTTTGAAATTAAATTTTTACATTTATTTCCTGTCATTAATTCAATTGTCTTTATATTAAAACTTAAT